CTCTTCTCCAGAAGGGCCTACTAGGCTTCACCAACTAGTTTGGCTGGAAGGGGCACCACAGGGATAACTGGCTTGTGGCGGCCAAGCGTTCATAGCGACGTCGCTTTTTGATCCTTCGATGTCGGCTCTTCCTATCATTGTGAAGCAGAATTCACCAAGCGTTGGATTGTTCACCCACTAATAGGGAACGTGAGCTGGGTTTAGACCGTCGTGAGACAGGTTAGTTTTACCCTACTAATGAGTACATCAGTGAAGTACAATCTGGCCGTTGCTATGGTAATCCTGTTTAGTACGAGAGGAACCGTAGGCTCAGATAATTGGTATATGTGCCTGGTCGAAAGGCCAATGGTGCGAAGCTACCATCTGAGGGATTAAGACTGAACGCCTCTAAGTTTGAATCCCGTCCAAATTTGCAACGGTACATTCTGTATCCGACACGTGGCTGGGCAAGCTTACGTATTCCTTTTGGTGTCTGGACTGGACCATGTGTTCGGCTAGGCCCATTAGGTCTGGTATTATGCCAGAGCGATGACCATAAACCGTGCTCCGGATTTTGGGGTATGGGGGTCGACACGATATCTAATTGTGGTATACTCCCCAATCAACTTCACTAGCTCATTTGATACATCTCCCACTAAGTCTAGCTATCAAAATACCGAGCTAATGAAGAACATCCAATCCCACACATCAAACTCATCTCACACCCGCAAGGGTTACGACGATTTTATCCGAGATACCCTCACCCATTTTAAATTAGTAGGCCACTTGTTTAATATATGTCTTATCAACACTCGATCGATCTGCAACAAAAAGACGGATTTAGCTCTGTTTGTATCCATATATCAACCATCACTTATTATGATATCTGAAGCATGGACTAACAGTAATATTTCCGACCAAAGCATATCTCTTGATAACTATTTTCTATATAGAAGCGACAGATTGAATGGACGAGGCAAAGGATGCCTTATTTACGCTCACTCTAGCCTAAACTCACTGCTATGTGATATGCCTGAACTAAACAAACTGAAGGATTCGGTGTGGATTGTATTAAAGCCGTCGAATTCCGTTACCTTATTGCTCGGGTGTGTTTATCGTCAACCTAACGCATCAATAGATGAAATAGCAGTATTATCGGAGGTATTCACACTAGCATCATCCCTCTCATTCACAGGCAAGCTCATTTGTGGTGACTTCAATATGCCCGAAATTTTTTGGCTGCCAGTCAAAGCGCCGAGACGTTATGAATCATTTATTGAATGTCTAGAGCTTGGACAATGGACTCAGTATGTCGATAGCCCTACCAGACATCAAAAAATCTTAGACTTAGTCTTTACCAGTGGCCTCATCCCCAATACTTTGTATATTGGAAAAAAGTTCCCAGGTAGTGATCATAACATTGTCATATGCAGCCTTAATGTAAAAACCACAACCGATAGAAGTAAAACCGTAACACTTCGTAGAAACTATCGCAAGGTTGATTGGAATAACTTCCACAATTACCTAAGAAGCACTGATTGGAGAACTTTCTTTACCTCAAACAATACCGACACATTAACCAATATATTTTATCACAACATCAAAAGTATCATCAACAACATCGCACCTTTAGAATACTGTAAACCTACGTTCTCCAAAGATCTCTATATACCGGTCAGTACAAGAAGACGTCTTCAAAGACATTGTACTCGATTCCACAACTTAAATGACTTTTCCTCTTTAGTAACGATGACAGAAATACTTGTCCGAACAGAGGCAATAACTAAACAAAAAGCAGTAGCACAGGAAAAACGTGCAGTCGAACTTAATAATAACTCCTCTGCACTCACCATACTACTCCAAAATAAACTTAAACGCTCTAAATCGAGAGGGAGTATATTCATTAAAGGCAAACAAGTATACGAAGATCCCAAACTTATCACGGAATTATTTAGTGAACATTTTTGTTTCTCACTAACTAACGAAAAACCATTTAATGATTCAGAACCAATCCCAGTAACTCCCTGTGAAATTACTAATGTAGAATTCAGTGTACAAAATATCTCCAAAGCAATCAGTACATTGAAACACTCCTACACTGATGGACCAGATGGTATTCCATCTTGCATGCTAAAACGTGGAGGTGATGATATGTGTGTTTTGCTTCTCAAACTATTCGCGATATCACTCTCTTCAGCGTGTTACCCTACTGCCTGGAAAACTACACATATCATTCCCAAAATGAAAACAGGACCTGAAGCAAACGTTGAAAATTACCGGCCTATAAACATAACTTCAGTGGTATCCAGAGTGATGGAAAAAGTAGTTAAGGCGGCTGTAGTCCAACGTCTACTAACTAATAATCTCATCTCGACCTCCCAGCATGGATTTCTTAGGTCCAGATCATGCGATACATGCCTAGTAGACTACCTGAATGATATAACTCTGAAACGAGACAGCGGACTCCTTGTATCAGTCCTATTCTTAGGCTTTAAGAAAGCCTTTGATAAGGTCCCACACAAAAGTCCTCCGGAATAAACAACCATATGCTGATGATTTCAAAATAGTATACAGCTATAAACCTGAGACACTAAGCGGAAGTATATCCCAGATCCAAAAGGACCTCAATAACTTAACTATATGGAGTGAAAAATGGCAATTACCATTTAACCTCAACAAGTGCGGGATCATGCACTTTGGAAAGCATCCCTATAAACCGCGACTTCAATTAAATGAAAGTAGAGTACAAACACTCGAATCAGTACACGATTTAGGAATTAATTACACAGGAAGCCTGAACTTTAAAGAACATGCCTCCTCTATTATTTCTAAATCTAGACGGCTAATTGGTTTTATGATGAAAAACTTTTTCACAACAGAGGGTAAACTTACTCTCTACAAAATATGTGCACGACCCTCCCTTGAATACTGCTCTTTTGTCTTCTCTAATATGAATATCACAGACAAGATAAGAGTAGAAGATGTTCAAAGGCGTTTCACACGTCAACTACTAGGATGTAACTCGAGTCTCGATTACACAGACAGATGTAAGCATCTATCTTTAGAACCTTTATGGCACCGTAGGCTAAAAAACAATTTAATATTTCTCTACAAAGCGATATATGGGCTCTCCTTTCTAACCTCCTGCCCGACTATCACCCACGACCCAGCCTATAGACTTAGAAACAACGCATATACACTACTTACCGTAAAACACCAAAAGCAAATGCGTTGTAAGTTTTTTTACAGTACGGTATAGCTTATTGTGGAACAGGCTGCCAATGCCTATCCGCAACTGTGATACGTTTACCAGATTCAAAAAGCTAATAACCCTATTTCTAGACTCCAAAGAGCTTCAACATTTCCTTGAACTCCCGCCCACCAATGAGGCACTTTATTACGGACCGCCCAGTATCTAGAAAGAACAAGATTATAACAAGTTCGACTGTTACTAATCTGAATATAACCAAACCACAGAATATATGGCTTATCCCTTCCTATTATTCATTGTTTATTGATCATAACCTTATGTTCCTAACCCTAGCTTTCAGTTCCCAAATCTCTACAGGTTAAATTAGACAGATAGCTCAATCTTATGGATGCTGATCTACTAAGGCCGATCATACAAAGCTCAAAATTTGGCCACAATGTCTTGTGAGTTTCTCAATGTTTTATTTGTCTTACCCTGAAATCTTCTTTTCTTTCTACAGTTTTATACCCTCTCATATCTTTTGATTTGCTATTAGTCCTTACTTCTTTAAACCATTAGTTATTTTCATAGCAGTGTGATATACTAATATGGACATCTAACCCAAAAAAGACTTTTCAACTATCTGATTTGCTTGTAACATGGACCTAGTGGAGACAGTGTATTCCAACCATGGGCTTTGATTAAAGCAGTATTCATACTTACCATAAACGTAAGAGAGCCTAACATCACAAAAGGAGGGAGGGTGGCGTTACTGACCAGCAAACATGATAATAGGGAAATAAATTCAATCCATCCATGTCTGTAGGGCAGAACATTTTGTTTAATTACGGCTCCTTATGGTTTAGTGGGATGTCACGGACTTAAGGTATTGAAGCTGATTTATCACGCAAAATACCTCATTAAATCGTGTTACGAACGTTGAATTGGTTTCACTTCCTACTCAGAAATCCTATTACAAGCAAACTAGACAATTCGCTAATATACGAAGCCTACTCAAGACCCTATGATACCTGAAAAAAAAGTAATAATACAAAAAAAATGAAAAGGGCTCCAATTACTTCGATAAAAAAACATGGATCTAACCTCCTACACGAACAGGCTTACAAACGCAATGCGTTCAGTTAAACCTGCTTCCACTCGACCTCAATCAACTGATGTTTTCGTTCAACCTGACTTACGATATAGTACACACGTTTTCGTTCGTCGAGACTCGCATCGACGACCATTCGAATCAGCATACGAAGGACCCTTCAAAGTTCTTCAACGTGAATCTAAGTACTATATAATCGATAAGAACGGAACCAACGATAGCATCAGCATCGATCGCTTAAAAGCAGCGTATTTAGAAGGAAATCCTATCTACGTGGATTTTCCTTCGGTACAATCGAACGACACGACTCCGACACTTATAATACCTCATCCGACAACCAACACACACGATGATACTTCGACAGTATCCGAAAATAAACTTAAAACGACGCGTTCTGGAAGTAGGGTGAGATTTCCAGAACATTTAAACGACTATTGCACGTAAGGCACTTCTCGACATTTTATATTATTTTTAAAAAAAAAACAATTTTAATATGCTTATATATTTTTATTTCTATTTAAAAAAAAACAAAAACAAAAAAACATTTTTTTTAACGCTATTACGTGTTCATGAGTTTATTTTCCATTTTTTTCCGCCGACATTGTGCTTTTACGCACATATGAGTGTATTTTCGACATGCACTTACATTTTCTTTTTTCTTTTCCAGGACGGCTGGAAAAGAACGACGACGTTTATGAGGATCCGAAATTTTCATTGTACATTTTCTTTTTTTACTATGTTGTACCTCCGTCCCATATAGTAAGGAAAGACGACCAGACTCTGCTAAATTTAGTAAGCTATCAGAAGAGTGTTTACCAACGACAAACTCGTTGGGTTTAAACTTCTGGCTGGCCACGTCTTAGGGTCGTCACTGCCCAACTAGGGGGGGAGTGATCTGTAGCGGTAAATAAATCCCTATAATACTATTTCTAGCACCATATTTTACTTTATAACCACACATAATCCCATACTCTCAGCTCCTTTCCGAATTGCCTCCATTTGTCAGTTGTATGTCCACTCACACCTTGTTAACACTTATTTTCTTTAACCTATTAAATGCTCTTTCTTAACAAATACCTTAATAAAAGAAAATTAGAATGAGTAATCATACCTTAAACATTCATTCATGAATATTGGCTACTCTGCCCCTCGTGTTTTCTTTTACTTGCTCCCTCTTTCAGCCCCCTTGTGATATGGAACGCAAGATTTTATCCTGCACTATCCTCAAAGCCTTAGACATTCCAAAGGGACATAAGGTTGTGACTTTTAGAAGCTCCCACCTTCAATGGACCTATCCTTGACCATCAGTTACACATTCGCAACGCAACTTTCGTGAAGCGCGCCAACTGTGATACTGATTAAAACCATCTACATTCATATCTTATAAATTATCAACCCAGCTGTGTAATTTACTACAGTGGATATTGTATCATTTGTATCAATTTGATCTTGCCTGTAAACTGGCATGCCTCATGTAACAAACTGTTATTTGAGAATAGATTATTATTATTATTAATATTATTACCGTAAGTTCAATATTATGATTAATTAACAGTTCCCTTATAAGTTGCGTTTCTTACTAGGTATGTAGAATCAATGTAGATAATATAGTCACCTTACATGTAATGTACTGTACTATATCCTCACGGTTATTGATTCGGAAATGTCAGAAATAAAAAAATGAATGGTGCCAATAAAACTGAGTTATACGATTTCGTCAAAAAGCATACTGCAGGAAAAGTGGTCAACTTGTAGTGAAATTGGACAATAGCCACACAATCCACAAAGCTGTGAACACGAGACTACTCAGAGTACTCCCAAAAATCGGATAAGAATACACGGTTAAGGCGGAAAAAAAAGTTATGAATAGTACAAGGATCAAATACACTTGTGTCAGATACTCTTTGCTCGTTTGATGTATGTATGCTTGATATATTGAAGCCATATTTCGTCAACTCATCTAGGTAACGAATTGGTTTGCGCCCTAGTAATTTGTAAGTCTTATTATTCAACAGTATCATGAATAGTTACTCAGTGTAAGGAAATACTGTGGTCATTCGCCCTACGGTCTGATATGGTCTATTGGCTAAGCTCGCGGTATAGCATTCAGGAGGGCGGAGGTTTGAGCAAGTGTGTGGCCGGCACTTTTGTCCACAAAACCCTCTTGCATGCGATGTTCGTTGACCGTAAGTCGCTCAGATATGGGGAAAAATGACAATAAGAGGACAGATTGATATGCCGAAGTGCCATATTGGAACACTGCGGTAGCTGCCTAAATTGTAAACAGTACAAGTTCTTTGTTCATATTAATAGTAATACAATACAAATGCTACAAGTTTGGTAGATTTCCGTTTTACGTCATACTTGAGCGAACTATATATATATATATATATATATATAAGTGAAGTATGGACCACTAGTAATAATTGGCATAGCCGTGATAGTCAGAAAAGTTACCACAGCTGTGCAATTTACTACAGTGGATATTGTATCAATTTGATCTTGCCTGTAAACTGGCATGCCTCATGTAACAAACTGTTATTTGAGAATAAATTATTATTATTATTATTACTGAGGTAAATAAAAAAGATGGCTGACCAACAAAAGTGTAAACTCCGCAGATTAAATTATTTAAATCTCCTGGATAATTTGTCATCAACCGTTCAACGTCCAAGTTGTGCTTACAATAACAAGTAGTCTGATTTGGATGTAGTATTATTCCGCCTAACTAAAAGACCTATAGCCTTTCTCTATATTATTACAATAGGTTTAAAATTCATCTACTTTACGTACTACAAGTACTGTCTTAGCAGCCTGATTTTCATGGTTTGTTAACTCATTAAGTTCATGACACACTGACTTCAAATGCCGGAACATTTATAAATTGAAGTTTTAATCACTTAATGAATTCGGTGACCGCTCTAACGACCGAGATACCAAGCCAGTGACGTTCAAGTTATATTTATATTGTAAGAAAGTTAATCTCTGTTCCGATATATCCACAAAATCAAAATATGGTCCTCAAAACATGTGCAAAGAATTTTGCCGAACTGTTAGCTTCTGTGGGACTTAAGTGGGAAAAATACATTTGCGGGATAATTTTAATTTCACCTCAGAAGATGATGAAATTAACTTGATCTAAAACACTGATGTAGTTTTGTTAACGAATGATGATGGATTACAGAATTCCAAAAATATTATTATTGACTCTCAGAAGACACACTTGAATGAACTTTGACTTTCCTTAAGTAGTTTCGTTAGACTAAATTCAAGTTCGTTGTTTCACTGTGAATAAGCTAATGAATATACTCCCTCTCGATTTAGAGCGTTTAAGTTTATTTTGGAGTAGTATGGTGAGTGCAGAGGAGTTATTATTAAGTTCGACTGCACGTTTTTCCTGTGCTACTGCTTTTTGTTTAGTTATTGCCTCTGTTCGGACAAGTATTTCTGTCATCGTTACTAAAGAGGAAAAGTCATTTAAGTTGTGGAATCGAGTACAATGTCTTTGAAGACGTCTTCTTGTACTGACCGGTATATAGAGATCTTTGGAGAACGTAGGTTTACAGTATTCTAAAGGTGCGATGTTGTTGATGATACTTTTGATGTTGTGATAAAATATATTGGTTAATGTGTCGGTATTGTTTGAGGTAAAGAAAGTTCTCCAATCAGTGCTTCTTAGGTAATTGTGGAAGTTATTCCAATCAACCTTGCGATAGTTTCTACGAAGTGTTACGGTTTTACTTCTATCGGTTGTGGTTTTTACATTAAGGCTGCATATGACAATGTTATGATCACTACCTGGGAACTTTTTTCCAATATACAAAGTATTGGGGATGAGGCCACTGGTAAAGACTAAGTCTAAGATTTTTTGATGTCTGGTAGGGCTATCGACATACTGAGTCCATTGTCCAAGCTCTAGACATTCAATAAATGATTCATAACGTCTCGGCGCTTTGACTGGCAGCCAAAAAATTTCGGGCATATTGAAGTCACCACAAATGAGCTTGCCTGTGAATGAGAGGGATGATGCTAGTGTGAATACCTCCGATAATACTGCTATTTCATCTATTGATGCGTTAGGTTGACGATAAACACACCCGAGCAATAAGGTAACGGAATTCGACGGCTTTAATACAATCCACACCGAATCCTTCAGTTTGTTTAGTTCAGGCATATCACATAGCAGTGAGTTTAGGCTAGAGTGAGCGTAAATAAGGCATCCTTTGCCTCGTCCATTCAATCTGTCGCTTCTATATAGAAAATAGTTATCAAGAGATATGCTTTGGTCGGAAATATTACTGTTAGTCCATGCTTCAGATATCATAATAAGTGATGGTTGATATATGGATACAAACAGAGCTAAATCCGTCTTTTTGTTGCAGATCGATCGAGTGTTGATAAGACATATATTAAACAAGTGGCCTACTAATTTAAAATGGGTGAGGGTATCTCGGATAAAATCGTCGTAACCCTTGCGGGTGTGAGATGAGTTTGATGTGTGGGATTGGATGTTCTTCATTAGCTCGGTATTTTGATAGCTAGACTTAGTGGGAGATGTATCAAATGAGCTAGTGAAGTTGATTGGGGAGTATACCACAATTAGATATCGTGTCGACCCCCATACCCCAAAATCCGGAGCACGGTTTATGGTCATCGCTCTGGCATAATACCAGACCTAATGGGCCTAGCCGAACACATGGTCCAGTCCAGACACCAAAAGGAATACGTAAGCTTGCCCAGCCACGTGTCGGATACAGAATGTACCGTTGCAAATTTGGACGGGATTCAAACTTAGAGGCGTTCAGTCTTAATCCCTCAGATGGTAGCTTCGCACCATTGGCCTTTCGACCAGGCACATATACCAATTATCTGAGCCTACGGTTCCTCTCGTACTAAACAGGATTACCATAGCAACGGCCAGATTGTACTTCACTGATGTACTCATTAGTAGGGTAAAACTAACCTGTCTCACGACGGTCTAAACCCAGCTCACGTTCCCTATTAGTGGGTGAACAATCCAACGCTTGGTGAATTCTGCTTCACAATGATAGGAAGAGCCGACATCGAAGGATCAAAAAGCGACGTCGCTATGAACGCTTGGCCGCCACAAGCCAGTTATCCCTGTGGCGCCCCTTCCAGCCAAACTAGTTGGTGAAGCCTAGTAGGCCCTTCTGGAGAAGAGGCTACATCGAAGCACGGCACAACTACCGGGGCGCAATAGCTGTTTTTGCATTATTTTTTGTCTTTGGTTTTACTTCCTGTCCGGTGATTGCTGACCACCTATGTACTACATAGCAGTGATTTATTATACCTTTTTTAGTTGGTAAAGTTTTGTTGCAGCCTGGGTATGGGCATTTATTTCGTTCGTTCTTGGAGTTTATTTTATTAACTTTGGTTTTGGGTCCAGCTTTAGTTAGATTATATTGTGGGTGGCATGACTGCATGTGTCTATTTAACCAACCCAACGTCTTATACGTTTTATTACAGTCAGTTAAGGGACAGCTATATTGGGACTCACTATTAGTTTTACTTTGGTGATCATTTCTAATGTGTTTGTTCATTTCTTTAATTGTAGCAAACTTTCTGTTACAGTTTGCATTTTGGCATACATGGTTCAGCTGACGTTTCCCTATTATTTTTGGAAAGTGCTCTTGATATGCGTTTATTTTAACCTTGTTGGGTTGGTTTATCCAGTTATTAGGAAGGCGCTCACCCATTTCTTTAATGTCTTGAAATAGTTCTCTTAGCCAGTTTTTAGTATGGGCCTTCCTATTGTTGCACTGATTTTCAAAGTTACTATATAAAGACCTCACCATTAGGTTATTTGGTCTTTTATGCGCTACATACCACAAGTTTAGTCTGTTTTGCATGATTTTACTGGCTAAGTTTGGTAAGTTTATTTTAAGTTTAAGTTGCTCAACAGTATATTGTTTTCTATCATTTATATTTAGAATTATCCGTCTTACTGTATTTAGCACCGCTTCTAGTCTAGACCAATCTTGCTTTCTTAGTACTATTGATTCTAGACCATATGTGAGAATGGAGATTATTGAGGAATTCACCATCTTGGCTTTGGTATCAAGGTTGAGTTCTTTAGATTTAAGTATTGGTTTAATTTTAATTATTGCATTTTTTGCTTTTTCTATATTATAGGTGATAGCACTATCCGGAGTACCTTTGTTATTTATGGTAGATCCAAGATAGTGGAAGGATTCTACTTCTTCGGTATCCTTGTTGTTTATTTTGACATTTGATGTGATAGCTTTTTTATTTATTATCATATATTTAGTCTTGGGGATTGATATATCCATACCAATATTGGTTAAGTATTGTTGTAGGTGGTTTAAGGCTTTGGTAGCCTCCTCCGTTGTGTTAGTGATTAAACATAAATCGTCTGCATATTCTAAATGTTTAACTGTCCAAATCTTGTTATATTGGTCTTTAAGAGTCACTCCTTTTAGGGTTTTGTC